CTTTCAAATTAATTATTTCAGCATAAGCTCGACCATTAGGTAGGCCACATGTTACAAGAAGATCATCGAAACCATCACTATTGAGATCTATATTACGACAACAATCGACTACTTTATTATTCACATCTTGTATACAGTAAACAGCATTAAGATTTCCACAAATAGTTGTATGCAATCTTAATATTAATACCCATAGGATTATAATGAATGAATTGTTTTTTCATAGTATTGATGATGAAATAGAAAATAATAAATGTATGAAATTAAATTATTCTTTTATATTGTATTTTATCTGCATATTTAAAGAGGTGTTCTTTTTTTAGTTCATATTACCGATTATTGACGTCATATAAAATTGATAAAAGATTTAAAATATTCATATTATTGATCAACATTCTTATTATAATCTTGTTTCAATGATACTAAATAAATCCTTGAAAGTATTCGATATGAAATAGTTTTGTTTTTTTAGATATTATCAAAAGCTCTTATCTTCATTCAATGAGTACATTTGGTTATGATGACATTTTTCTGTTAAAATCGACTTAGATATTATTTTATGAGATTGTATTACAAAAAAAAACTGAGAAATAGATACTCTATCATAGTTTTCTCATAAATCAACAATCCTGATAATGTCTGTACGTGTTGACATTTACAATCATATCCATACAGTGATAGAGATAAATATCTCAAAACGAAAGCAGAAAAAGCAATCAATACATAATAAAAAGAAAAGAATCCCTATTTTTCATTTATTGAACATAATTGTTCCATATGTTATTTTAATTTTCAAATTGTAACACACAAAAAAAGAAAAGAAGTTTGTTTTTTTTTCTCTTTTACAAATCTATATATTGTGTATTAGTCACTTCAGTAACATCATCACCAAATGAAACACTCGGTTTTACTAATGATCCCATTGAAATCTTTTTCATATTATTGTTAACCGGATGATTTAATGAATTACGTGCTGACATACATGTTTTATTAGTTGTAGAATTTGATATCACAGATGATAACGGTATTTTTTCAATATTAGAAGATTTTCTTTCTTTATTTGTATTATTAAGTTCTAATTGATCAACATTTGCATTTGTACCATATTGTTTTCCAATCAATGGTGCTGCAATAGATTGTAAACGTTGTTCTCGAGTATCAATACATGTTGGACATACAAGTTTTGTAAATGCATCTCGAAATGCTTTTGACATACGACAATAAATAAAAAAATTTATTGGATATGAAAGTAATACAGCAAAATTTAATAATTGTACAGCAAAATTTAATTCTTTAGCTAGAAAATTTGATTTAAGTGCTCGTAATATACCTGATATAATTAAATAAAGAGCCATCGGAATTTCAACAATTAAAAACATAGTTACTACAATAATCTAAAATATTAAAAAAAAAAAAATTTCTTTTTTTGTATTTTCATTGTTTATTACATACAAGCATTAATGTAACATTTGATTGTTCTTGTGTTCGAACTTCACAACT